AAAGAGTGTGCAGCATTGTAGGAGGGAATGGGGGTGTTGGGGAGACAGGACACATCAAAGAGTACACCTGGGGTCTGAGGCCCCCAATCTGTATCTTCTATAAAAGTCATGTGTCAATTGCAGGTTCACCTCAGAACCAGCATACCTTGTGCCTGTTTTGGATTACTATTGTGGTATGCATGGAGAAAGGGCCTCAACATTTTCCCTATACCATTTTTTTTTTACCTGAAACAGTTGGATGGGGGTGATATGCTAAATAGCCCATCCACAGGCTATAGGAGGTTGGGAAAACAGTGAGGCTGAACCCTCTCCTGCACACATACCACAGTCACTATCCAAATCAGGAACCACACATAGGAACTGAGGAGAAACTGAAAATCATGGTTGACTGTTATAAGGGACACAGGGTGGGGACACCCCAGACTGAACTTACACATTCTGGAATACATGAATGTCAGAGTCTGAGTAAGGAGGAGATGGCTTGAGTCTTTCAATGCCTAACTAGGTGAGATGCTGGAAATGTTCCTCTCACCCTGAGCCTTCACTGTCACACCCCTTATACTGGGCTAGGCCATTGGTCTACCAAGTTAAGCATTGTCTACTCTGGCAATGGTTCTCCAGGGTCCCAGGCTGAGGTCTGGCTCATCATTACTACCTGATTCTTTTAACTGGAAATGGTGGGGATTGTGCTTGGGACCTTCTTCATGCAAAACAGATGGTCTGCCACTGAGCCACAGCCCTCCCCCTGAACACTCATCCTTTAAAACAGACTATCTGCACTACATATTTGTCATACAAGGAAAAAAATGTATTCAAAAACATGGAAGATTTGACAATTTTTTTTTAAAAATCAAGTTTTTGTATTGTTCTTGAAGAGCAATTTAGCTACCACAAAGTCATTTGACGTGTACTTAAGGATTATCATATACATAATCATAAATCTTTACAAATTTACATCTAGTCTTTCTAGAATGATACATCCCCTGAATTATGGGACTGAGAATTAGACTGGATAACTTTCACATGATTACCTTGGATACTTCTTTTGAAGAAGGCTTTGCAGCCCTCGCAGGACCAAACACCGTAATGGTAGCCTGACGCATAGTCATTACACACAGCACAGAAGCGGGTCTCCTTGGCGGATTCCATGGACAAGCTTCCCTTCTCGCTGGTGCAAGCCATCTGCTGTCTGCCACTGTGACGTCTGTTATCTGAGCCTGGCCTGTAAAATGAACATTGAGTGAACTCGCTAGCATTGAAATACTGGCTCTTCCTTGAAACATAAAATATCATAACTGACAATATCTAATCCAGTTGTTGACATTTTGAGAACATTCAGATGGGGCCCCGTTGTGCTTTTTCCCTGGGTTGAGAACAGGGTACAGAGAGGTCTGCTGGCATTAATAGTATCTTTACATCCTCTTCCTTATAACACATAAGACAGACTATCAGTGATATTATATGATTGCACAGTCTGTCTCCACACCTCACAGTTCCGGCTGGTTGGGGTAGGGAATACACAGCATGATGTCACGTCACATGTTGTTTACCTTAAGACAGTAAGGAGATATGGAGTTCCATGTATCTTATAACATCTAAGTTTGACCTACAATCCCAGTAAAGTCACATGTCTTCTAAGTTATTTGTCCAGGAGTATAGTATTAAACACTAAGCTGAACTAAAAGTAGAATGTACATTCAGATAGCCTATATGACCTTTCAAGAATTCTGCAGCTCATATTTTTGTCTTTCAAATTACACTGTCATGCCATGTAGCTATGGTTCACAGGTTTTGTTTTTAAAAGTCCTTATATGCATCCTGATAACTCTGGAATTTATCAGTATAATACTCTACTATTATACTAAATTAATCAACGGAACACCCTGTAGAGGCTTGGAATAGATGTTATTCAAGTCTATTCCAGATAGGGATGCTACCCTCCAGGTGGGAACTGGGGATCCCTGAGAATTACAGACCATCTTCAGAATACAGAGATCAGTTCCCCTGGAGAAAATGGACGCTTTGGACTCTATGGCATTGTGCCCTACTGAACTCCCTGTCCTCCCCATGCTCCACCCCTGAATCTCTAGGGGGTTCCCAACCTGAAGCTGGCAACCCTACCTCCCCCAGGGGATATGGCAAGCCTAATTCCAAACCATTTCATTCCAGTGTGATCCAGAAGACCAGAGACAACAGTTCTTTTATCCATTATTATCCAGTGGCCAAAAGAAAAAGGTAATTTATTAAACAGATAGCACTACGATAATTGGACTCCTGTGACCTTGACCTAAATAAATTACTTCTATTGTTGTATTTTAAGAATCAAAGTGTTATTCTCTACTTTTCCCTTTTCTTCTTTATCTTTTTAGGAGGGGAAAAAGTGAAGAGGAGATGCTATATATGGTACAAATAAATAATACAGTCCTCAAGGTCAAAATACCCAGACCACTGCCTTATGAACTCCCACTCCCAGCTTTCTTCACCAAATGTTAAACTGAATTCCTCAGTATCTCCTGATCTTTAGACCCAACATTTTTTTTGGGAAAGTTTCCGATATTATTCACATGTTAACACCCTGCCTGTCCATAATCCTTTATGCCTCCTTCAGCTAGATAACATTCCTTGAAGTTCAGCTGCCTAAAATAGGGCTCTGCTACTATAGATCTACAGGACAAACTGGCAGGAATAAAGAAGAATGTTATAAATGACTGTAAGAAAAGTTATAAGCAGAGAACTGGAAAGTCATGAGTATTTGTTTACTATTAAGCCACTGCTACTGTATATCTAGATGAAACTGTAAAAGGTGCATGTGGAGGCAATGCAAGGAATTAAGAGAAAGAAATGGGATTGTCCATAGATTGCGCAAATTAATGAACTTTGTTTCACAAACTGTTGTATATAGGCTTGGATCTTAAACTGCTATTTCATCTGTATAACAGTAGTACTGTCAGTGGAACAACATTTCTGTCTGCAGAGGAATGGAACACAAGTTTTTCCCAACTCCCCCGCCAGCAGAAAGGAAGGACTTGGCAACCCTATGTTTCCACTCGCACTGTCCTGAAGGTCTGCTAACCACAAGAGCACAATTTTAGGGGGCTGCTCAGGCTGCTTAGTATCCAGGCTTGGTTTCTCATGATTTTATTGAGAGGATAAAATCATTTGGTTGATCAATAAATCAAACTGAACCATTTTCATCATGATTATATTATCACCCACTTTGAGGGCCACTGAGGGCAAAAAACCCTATAAATTTGAAAATAATAGTAACAATTGTTTCTTGGACTTTCTCAAATGTTATTTCTTCTTTTATGAACATACAGTGATGCAAGTAATTATCTGGGTTTTTTCTAAAATTAGAACAGTGTTTATAATTTTAAAAAACAAATGTTTAATTATATCATTACACTATGATTTACATATGCTTCATTTTTCATCCTAAAGAAGTATGCACAAATAAGAAATTAAACTATTTAAAATTATATGATTAGCTAACCAGGGTATTACCTTAATTAGGGTGTACAAAATCTGTTTAATCCATATTTATTTATTTATGTTATATCCTGCCCTCCCCACCAAGGCAGGCTCAGGGCGGCTTACAGAATATATATATATATATTTTTAAAAATCAGCGAGATATATTAAAACACAGATTTAAGTAAAATCACAACATATAAAATCATAGGTGCTAGAAACATAGGTATTAATAAACAATGGCGGTGTTCTTTCTACATCCAGATGGTCAACTACCACCATAGGCCGGATTCCTGCCAGGCTATTGGTTATTAAATTGGTACTGATGTTTTGCTAAATTGCATGTATTATAATTTGTAGAAAAAAATATTTTAATGTGTTCAGTAAGCTGTGCTTCAGATACACAATTAAAGGTGCCACTTTAACCCCTGCCTCTGAACAATTTAGGATGGCTACAAACAAGTTCAGTGCTTCCCTGGCATGCAAGCTCTATGCAGACTGGGGCCATGGTACACACACACACACACATTGCTGTTTTCCCAAACTGAAATGGATCTAGGGTGCTGCTATTTGCCCCTTTCAGAAAACTTATTTGTACACATTACATGTACATTTTCCTGAACAACAACTAGCTGCTCTCATGGTCCATTTCATCAGAAAAATGGTGCAGGAAGGGAAGGCTGAAGCCCTTTGTCCATGTGCGCTATTGTCCTGGTCCAAATTGTATCTGAGATGCTCAGAAATCCCAACACAGGATGTGGCTATGAGGACTTTGTATTGTGGGAACTGGACCTAAGCCCAATGCTGCTGTATCTTGAAGATGCACAACCTTATCTTTAAGATTCACCAGTGAAGATGCCAAGATGTGTGCCAAGATGTGGTGGTACTGCACTTGTGTCAGGCCAGTATAATTCCAGGGCTATAGTCCATATTACTGTGTTTAATCCCAAAAGGAAGCTTAACTCTGGGAGTTGCTGTTGCCCAGCAGATCAAAGGTTAGAGGATGATTTAAAAACAGCAAAATAATTAAGGAAAGCAGCTAGACGAAATAACTGTGTTATAATTGGTGATTTTAACTACCCACACATTGATTGAGTCAATATGTGCTCAAGACAGGAGAAAAAGACTGGGTTTCTAAACATTCTCAATGCCTGTGTCCCTGAACCTACTGGGGGGAGGTGATCCTGGACTTGGTTCTAATTAATGCTCAAGACCTGGTGATATCACCAGTTGGGAACAGTGACCATAATGCTATGAAGTTTAACATTTATATAAATAGGGAGTTGCCCCAAAAAACCAACACAACCACATTTAACTTTAGAAGGGATAACTTCTCTTGAATGAAGGGGATTGTGAAAAAGAAACTGAAAAGAAAGATAAGGAGGGTAAAATCCCTTTGGGAAGCTTGGAGACTATTTAAAACTACAATCCTGGAAGCTCAGATAAAATGTACACCGCAGGCCTGCATGGTTAACAAACAAAGCAATAGAAGCAGTAAAAGGTAAGAAAGATTCCTTTAAGCAGTGGTATCAGGTTCAACAGTCAAACAAGTGGAGTACAGTCTTCCAAGAAGCAAATACTTTATTGTCAGTACTATTGATCAGGAACACAAGCACTGTTAGGAATCAGTAAAAAGGGAAAGCTTACTGAGATATACAGAGTTCAAACAACACCCACACACACACACACACACACGGGCCAATCGGCCTGATTCCCGCGGGCAGGAAAGAATAACCGATGCAGCTGAGCTGGGAAACGAAACCAGTCACATGGTTGATTAATATGAAGACACTACAACTAGACAATGGTACAAGGTTACAGATAACAGGAGAAGCGATTCAGAGAAAGGAATGCGGCACCCAGTCGTACGCAGGTCAGGCGGGTGCCCCCTCAGTCCATAAACAATATGGCAGCATAGCTGACAAGTGGAAGGCTAGTCAAAGTGAGGTAAATGAAAGGAAGCACAGGCAGTGGCAAATAAAATGCAGTCGGTGATCAGACTGGCAAAAAGGGACTATAAGGAACATATTGTAAAAAACAATACCACCAACAATAAAAATTTCTTCAAATACATTAGAAGCAGAAAAACAGCCAGGGAGACAGTGAGGCCCTTGGATGACCATGGGGTAAAAGTGTTACTAAAGGATGATAGGGAAATGGCAGAGAAGCTGGATGGTGTGTTTTTTTCCTCTGTCTTTACTGTGGGAAGTGGGAGATGCTTGCTCATTCCAGAACTGCAGATTTCAGGAGAGGTATTGAAATACCTGAGCCAAATTGAGGTGACACGAGAGGAGGTCTTATGACCAGTATTCCCTCTAAGCTGAGTTCATGTGAGCTAGCTCACAGTTTTTTACCCTCCGGCTCACACATTTTTGCCTTAGCTGAGGAAGGATGGCTCCAGAGCAAACCAATTTATGCAGTAGGCAAAACGCTCGCTCACAACTTTAATGCCAGTAGCTCACAAAGTAGAATTTTTGCTCACAAGATTCCACAGCTTAGAGGGAGCAATGCTTATGACTGATGGAAAAATAAAAAAATGACAAACCACCAGGCCCAGATGGCATACATCCAAGCGTTCTGAAAGAACTCAAATGTGAACTCATGGGTCTTCTGACAAAAAATATGCAATCTATCACTAAAACTCCATCCCAAGAACTAGAAGGTAAACCCCATCTTTTAAAAAGACTCCAGAGGAGATCTGGTAAATTACAGGTCAGTCAGTCCAATATCGATACCAGGTAAGTTGGTTGC